CATATGATTTGTTCTGCAGCCATTTCTCCTTTCTCTCCTGCAATAGGATCTGTAGAAATAATTTAAAGAGCGGAAGGTAATTTAGTGTCTTTTTTTACCTCTCTCCACACGTTTCCTATGAGTTCACCAGGTACCCTCTAGATGAACCAATCCTACTGTAAAATATTATTTCTAGGCTTTATTTGACCAATTTATTAACTGTCTGCAGCTTTATTTACCAGGTTCTGGATTAACTCTGAGACCGGTTACTACTCAGAGCCGCTGCTTGCTTGCTTGCTGCCTTTCGTTGTGTTTATCTTTTCTTTGCAAGGAGGGGCTCAAACATATACAAACTGTCCTGAGGCTTAGCAGATATTCCAGAGAATCACAGAGCTGTATCTCATCTTCTCCAGTAATTAGTTACTGTCTCACACCTCATAGGAATCACAGCAAATGCTCTTCTTCGTGCCACTGCTCCCCGGGAAGCGGAAGGGAAATAAAAAAATCATTTCAATGCTTGAAATTACAACTTTCTATCTTACCCCAAACACTAGAGCACAGAAGGTGATGGAGCTGCTTCTGGCTACCTCTGCAGAAAGCTGCCCCAAGGTCATGCTGTCATGGAGCTGGCTGGGGTCTGAGAGCTCAGACTGAGCCTTGAGGAGCCCCAGTGCTGCAGAAGCATTTCTCTGTCCCCCGTGAAGGCATTTGTAGTGTTTCAGCAGCTTTTTGGGTGCTCTGGAAAGCAGATTTCAGCCTGAGAACAAACAGGTGGCAGGCTAGGAGAGAAAATATGTGGAATCTTTCAAACAAAAAAGAGCTAGTTCACTGTAGATAGCAGAGTGGAAGTAGACCTTTGAGAAAGCCTGACAGGGGATGTTGCACAGGTCTCGTGTGTAATTCACAGGGCTCAGCCATGCTTAGACCTGGTTCTCTCTCCACACGGGTGCATCCTGTGATCCAGGTGCTCTTCACTCTGTTCTGAAGTGTGAAGTGTGGCACCTCACTGCTCCCCCCAGGCTGCTCCAGCAGCCATTGCCCATCTGCAGTGCCCAAGGGCTCACCCCAAGCAAGAGGAGCACTTCCCTTCTTCTCTAGGGCCAGTGCTTTCAAAACGTCTTGAAATGTAAGTGCTGGTGTTATTGGCATTAAAGTGGTTAATGTGGTAGTCTGATTCTAAAATCATGGCTGTATAAACCTACCCTCACTATTATTCTGTTATTTTACTTCACAAGTTGCATGTTGTCTAATTGTGATTTACTGCATATTTCTCATATAAATTACTGTAATGGACTCTTTGTCTGGGCTGCATTGCCGTGACAGAGTGTGCTACAAGGTGTCACGTGAACAAGGTTATAGAAAAGATTGAAAAGACTACAAACTATTGTGTGTGAGGAATCACTCCTCTTGTAACTATGCAGACATGCAAGGGGTAGAGTTAAGGGCTATGTGTACAGTCTTGACTTCATAGCATTTCTCATTGTGAGTGTTTAACCATGCAATTCTGTTACTCATGTAATGGAGTATTTTTCTAATGGAGTTTGAGGGGATTTTGTTCAAAATGGAAACCATCAAGATTCTGGAACGCTAAAGATAGATGGTGTGGGGGAGAAGTGTTCCAAATATGGCCCCTCCTGATCTGACTTGAGCTCTGTCAGACCTGCTTATCCTGCACAACCCAGTCCCTCGCCCCCCTTCATGCATGCTGCCAGCCTGCAGATTCAGTGCTCTCCTGGCCGCCATGTGAGTCGAGCCTTGCACACTGTGCAGTCCTGCACCTTTCCTGCTGTGGGCCCACGTTATTATGGCCCGTGTGTGTGAAGCTGTCACAGCAGGGAGCCCTCCACCTATAGTCTGACCACAGGGTTCAAACACATCATAATGGATGAAGCTCCTTTGGCACCAAGACCAGGAGGAGTTTTGCTGCTTGAGCTGCTCTTGGCGAGCAGCAATTCCCAGCATACACCTCAGGTACGGCTCTGCACTGTCTGCTCCCAACGTGGGGGAGCAGAAGGGGAGCGGACCTGCTTCAGTGTGCTTTTTGCCACCTGTCAGCACTTTGCTTGAAGTCTGGCTAGCTGGTTTTCCCACACCTGCAAGCTCGTTATGCCTCAGTGAGGGCATATTGTGGCAGTGGAGTCATGTGCACGTGGTAAAGAGCCAGCATTGTGCATCACCTGATGATTGCTGACAGGTGGGTCTGTATCACCAGCTCATATGGCAGGTTGCTGTGGTTACTGCAGAACCACTGAGGTTCTGCTAAGGAGGGACTGGCAAAAAGGCAGAGGAGCAGTGCCTGTGGGAAGCTGCTGGATGACTCTCTCCAGGAAAGATAGCTTGATGTATCGTCCTGGCCTCCTGCCACTTCTCCTTGGTAAGGGTCTATTTTATTAACATCGTCAAGACTGTAGGTCTAGGAGGAGAATGGAGGAAGTCTGTGGATTCACTGACTAGAGCAAATCACTTACTAGGCAGCAATTTCAGTTTCAGGCCTTGGCTCAATTCCAAACTGTGATGGGACTTAGTCTATTAGTCACAATCAAACAAACTGGGAGCTGCTCTCTAGCAAACTTCCTTACACCGGTCGGCCACCAAAGGTTTGACATCAGGCAGTGGGTGACCAGAGCACCATGGTGCATTTCTGCAGACTTGGTCAAATCAATGTGTCCTTGAAAGAGAAAGAAAAGAATTTTTCCTGACTGAGGCATTAGTTACATCAACTACAAATAGCAGCAGATGTCCCTGACTTAGCTTGTTAAAGACAGCCTGAACTTCATGCGCTCATGAATGGCAAGTTAAAGCCAAACTATACAGAGGAAGGTTTTGCTTTTTGGGGTGGTTCACTGCTGTGCCTCATTTCAAGTTTTTGACCCTTGAACAATTCAGCTGAAAGAATATCAAAACATTCTAAATACATTTTCAAGATATGAAAGTTTCTGGTAGGAAAGTTTTTGAAAAGTTATGAGCAATAGGAAAACAATTGCATGCAGTAGCAATTATTCTGCAGTTTTATTGTAATGACTAATGCTCAGCAGTGGCCATAACTGTACTCTAATCCCCACTGTACTCCTATTTTCTTCCTGTATTGCTGGACTTCAGGCATTAAAGTGATATCCTAGATGGAAAAAGAATCAGGAACTGATTCCCAGTACTGAACCACAATATTATCCTATGCATACAATATCTTGTATTTCACTGATGTACTCACTTATTTTATAGCAATATTTTCCAGGTGAGCTTTTTTTTTTTTTTTTTTTTTTTTTTATTTAATGTTTTTATTGGATTCTTTTCTTGCAGTGCTGGTGATGATCCACCAAGTACGATTCTTTTGCTTGGCCTTCTGATGAGCTAAATAAACAGATATCTCATGCAGTAGGAACTGTCCTGTTATTTCATAAGCATCTCATGTGCTTGAGGCCAGTGGGCTTAGCACGGGGTTAGTATGCATGCACAAATAGTTTATAAAGCTGCTTTGATTATGAAACCCCAAAAAGGATATTACGTTTTTATTACAAAATTGTTCTTGATTTCTCTACAAAGAAAATACAAAGTTCCAGGCATTCTCATGGCTTGCTGTCATGCTTCAGTTCTGAAGAAGGAAAAGAAAGTGAATTTCCATCACTTTTCTTCTTCAGACCGCAGTGCTTTTCTCTCGCTTTGTTTCCTAGCTCCATCACTACAAGCACACCCCAGCCCAGTCGAGCTTCCAGCTAACGAGGCGCTACGGCCAGAAGGAACTGCAGCTGCAGCATCATTATTCACACCTTTAGGATTCCACTAAGCTCAATTCATACCTGCTTCTCTACCAGGAGTGCTGGGGCAGCCTTGTAGGGAGCTCATTCGTTTCCTACGATTTAGCATTTGTCTGTAAGTTACATTTTTGTTCCCCTCTGGTAAATAATTGGGTTTTCTACGTGGCCTCATAAATAGAGCCATGCAGGTTTCCCAGACCCGAACCTCGGCTACGTTCGTGCCATCTCCTCCGCCTTCCCGTCACTGAAACCAGGCGCTACAGAGCCAGCCTGGCCCTCCTACAGCCGCGTGCCCCCGGCTGAGGTCAGACCCGCATTTGGCCTCAGCCGCCCTCGCGGCCCCGGGTCGTGCCGCCCGCCACGAGCCCGGCCGCGCGGCGCTGCGCTGCCGGCCGTGGGAGGAGCCGCCCCGAGGGCCGCAGTTGTGTTGCTCTCCGCCACCGCGACAACGCGCCGTTTAGAAGGTCAGCATTTACAAAAGCTCCCAAAGGCCCCGCGCCCACCGAGCCAGGAGCTGCGGCCCATGGCAGCGGGACGCCAAGCGCGAGCAGCCCGTCGCCATGGCAACCGGCGCTCCGTCCGCGTCCCCCGAGCTTCGCCGCCAGCCCTTCGCTTCGATGCCCAATCGTCGACGCGCGAGAGCCAGCGGCCGCGCTTCTGTTGGGCGACACTCACGTCAATCAATACGTCCGGAACCAGTAGGTTCGTGAGGATTTGCGGGCGGGAAGCCCCTGCCCTTGTTGAGTGCTGATTGGTTTTCTGGGGCCGCGGGGCGGGGCTTCGCGTCGCCCTCTTCGGGATTGGGCGGGCGCCGCCAAACGGTAGCGGCTCTTTCCGCTGTTGGGGGCTGCGTTGGCGGCGTCAGGAGCGAGAGGAGGGCAGGTCCCTCGTGTTGGTGACCGGGATGGCGGTTACTTTATCCTGCCGCAGTGCTTATTGCATAGAATTTTGTGTAATTCCACAAGGAATTAATTTTCACCCCAAGGTGCCGTGCAGGAGTTAATGCCCATCTAATGACCCAGCGCGCTTTGTTTTAAACGCGCTCAGGACACGCGTTCGCTGTCTGGACCGCAGCTGAAAGAGCAGCTCTAATTAACGGCATGTGGTAGCGAGAAACCGATTCCCTGCTAAGCACAAAGCGCGTGCAGCTTGCTTGAGACGTCCTGTATATTCCTGGTTATATTGCCTTCCAGAAAACATTCTGAGCTTTATTTCACTTTTAAAGTCACGTCGCTGACTACGTGAGGAATCTGGCGGGGAAGGGTTGGACAGAGGCAATAAATAGAGCGGTAAGAGCACGCGGTGCTCAGCGCTGCTTATGGGCAGCACAGCCCCCCATCCCAGCCATCTTCTGCCGTCCTCATCCACACGCTGTGATGGCGGTTTTGCAGCTCGGCTCTTAGCATCACCTTCACCAGAACGCGACCCGTCTGCTGTCTGAGCGCAGCGTTGTTACACGCGTGCTGTGTGTGTGCAGCTCTCGTGTGGTTCTGGTCGGGTTTTGGTCCCGATTACCATTGCACAGTCACGCTCTTTCTAGGTGACCCGGGAGCCCCCTGGAGACGCCTCTTTGTATTCGGCTCTGCTTATTAATGAATGCGGAGCCGATATAAGCGCAGTCAGCTTTGTGGTACTTTTGAGATGACGGCATCTTACGAAGCGTAAATTGTTTTCTGCTGACTTTATGTATGTTTGAAGATGGTGTGAAAAATCCAACTCTCGTATTAAACTCTACACGCGATGGCGGTGAGGGCTGTGTGGTGGCAGCAGGGCACAGCAGCACTTCGTATTTCTGAACCGAAGAGATGAAAGAGAAACCAGCAGCCAGGTAAACTTCTCTTAATTGAGGTTAAATTAAATTCGCTCCAGCTTTTGCTTTACATAGCCTCATATTTCTTCTGTTTTCTGTTTCTCATCAGCTTTCTCCAAGTTTTAGTCAGAAACTGTTCTTTATTTGCCTATACCAGTGCCTCAGGTGTGCGCTCTCAAGAACAGCTGAGTAGTGCTACCATCCATACATATTTCCAAGAGTGAAATAAAGTTTCTTTGGTGCGGCCACAGCCCAATTAGCATAGATGATTAAATCCCATACGTATTTTCCCACCTTACAGTAAAAACCCTTGAAGGTGGATTGATAAAAAAAAAATCATTCCCCTTCTTCCTGGTAACTAAAATAAGGCTGTAAAGCACTGCTGAATGCATCTGGTGAGCCCACGCTTGCCTTCCATTGAAGCAGAGCAAATGCAATCACCAGCACTCTTACCCTTTCTGAAGGGTTGGTGCACTTGAAAAGAATTGGATGATTTGTAGACAGATTCTGTCCCAAGTCTCAGTGTAAGGAAAGGGCGTGTGGTTTCTTTTTCCTGTTGCTGAGAATCAAAGCCATTATGTGCAATTCAACCACCTTTGATTCCTCAGTCAGTGCTGATCTGGGGATAAGTACGATTGCCAGAGAGAAGAAAGAAGTGGATGTGACCTTGGTGATAAAATTCCATTTTAGAAAGCCAGAATATTCATTGTATTTTTAGAAGGTATTTCTTAGGAGAAAGTAAGTAGGTTACAGTGAAAATAACTGTTTGGTGGAAGGAATGAGAAGTTCGGCTTAATTTGGGGATCGTTGCATTTGTGGAGTGAAATAGAGCTGGGGTAAATGAAGGAAGCTGCCTTCTTAGAAGCACGAAGGCCGGTGGCTGTCTCTTGGCTGGTGTTCCCATTTTTCCAGTAAGCTGTCTGCCATGCGGAGGTGTATAACCCTAATGGCTTGTTGTATGCCATTAAAAGGTATTGTACACTCATAAAAGAATGACATTTTGATCAATGCTGTTAAAAGAATTACTGTCTTGACACAGAAAAGCTTTCCTGCTGCAAGTTTAAAAATATGCCTTTAAAAGCTTTTTATTGAATACCTTTGCATCTCTCAGAAATGTGCCATTTTGGCACAGGGCTGCTCTGAAGTATTCCACGTTGTGCCCTAAATGCAAGACCTGTTTACCATCAGAACGGAGGGAGGCGAGGCAGGTGTATTCACTTAACTACTGTCATGGGGATGAAGGAAAAAGCACCTTGAGCTAGACTTGTATGCAGTCTAAAAATAAGAACTCCATGCTTTTAAAGGGTCTGAAACCATTTGAAAGCTGTTTGTTTTTGTTTTGCCATTGATTCCTGCCTGTCCCTCTGGGTTTGTTTGAGTGTCCCTTCGGACTCTGAAGCATATTGATGTTGGAGGGAGGCAGGTGGTAACAGGAAAACCACAACATCGCTGCATCTGGAGCCCTGCTCATGGGCGGGTTGGCTGCATTTAGACAAACCTGGGTTGGAGGTTCTAGGTGGCTCGGTCATGGTGTACAACTCTTCCTAACAGAAGGGTGATTTCTGCTACGCAAAGTGTTGGAACTGCTGGTTAATCATAGCTGCAGACATAATGTTTGTTTGAAAATGGCTGAAATTGCAATGAACTGTTGGATGTGGTTTGGCTGTAGCCGCTGCTGAGAATGGTCGCAGGGTGGGACCCGAGGAATCCCCTCCTGGCCCAGCACTCTGCAGCTCCATCCATCCCAGGGCTGTGTAGCTCCCCTGGCTCAAACAGAAGGGTTACAGTCCCGGCGCCTGGAGGCTCACGTACAGCTCTCAGCTTTGTCACATCTGTGTGCATCTCAAGCGTTCCCTCGGTCACCGTTTCGGGCCTTCCATTGTTTAGCTGATGCGAGGTGTCTTAAATGCTTTCTGTAATGGATAAAGGTGGATGGTTTGGGAGAAAGAGCGCCGTGGAGCTGTGCTGTTGATATAACGAGATTTCAGACAACTCGTCCAAGGCTTCGTTATTCTTTCCCTTTTCATACATTTATGGCCACACCAAAGCAATACACGCTCTGGTGTGTCTCATGTCCTGCCGTGGGGCTGTCAGCAGCCGGGTGGGTTTGTAACAGTGAAGAACAGTGGAGTGCTGAACGATACTTCAGTAAATCAGATGAAAAAAGCTGTGTAACTTATGGTGGAATTTTGTTCCTTTGATGACAGCAGAACATCTTGTTGTACCATATGTGAGCTGCTCCTCTTAAATAGGGCTTTTTAAGATTTCTTTCAGAAAAAGGAAATGTTAATAATGTGCATTATCTGCAAAGCATTGTACAAAAGGAAGAAGCAGGAGAGCTTGGGTGTGTATGTGTGATGAGACCTGAGAGGCATACCATCGTGCTGCTTCCTCCCTGTCTCTCAGGTGTCTGAATTTCATCCCATGGAACAGCCTGCTTGTGTGGAGGAGCACAACTGCTTCCTTCCTTCTGTACCAATGAACGTCTTGGTAGCTCTGGGGCAGAGGGTTGTTGCTTTAACAGAGTGGGGATCAAAGGCTGTGTGTGGCAGGGAACTTGCCAGTGGCAGTGGCTGGGTGACAGTAACTTGCAATGTATCAAAGCACACAAAGGTTGTTCTTCTTTGGCTATTGTGTCTTGTGATGTATGCTTCCCATGCCAGTTCCACTTCTTTTCCCAGACTGGGCAGACACTGAAGCAACTGGCATTTTAGAAGCTTTTGTATTTTGAAGGGAAATGTGCTGCTTATGCTATTGGTAGTACCTCATTAGAGCACTGTCTTGGTTATTTCTGAAGACTTGCCTTTGCTCAGATGTGCTGTGTGTCCACGACTTCAGCCCAGTCATCCCATCCGTGCTGCCTCATTCTCCTTTGGTTTAGGTCCCAGCCCACACAGAACAGCGTGTTCTTCAGCTGCGCATCTCCTGTGAAGAGCTGATTTGGACTTTGTTGTTGTTGTGGGTTTTGTTTTTGTTTTTAAACGCTTTCTGTTTCCATTTGTATATGTGTACTGTAAGGAAAAGTGCAGGGAACTGGAACCTCCAATGTTTGTTTTAAAGGCAAGAGGGAGTGAGGGCAGAGACCTCTGTGGCTCACATTCTGGATTATTCCCTGTGCCACCCCCAGCCCTCTGTTGTCTTCTGTGCTGCATCAGGCCCTATCTGCTGCCATCTGTTGTGTGCTATTTTTCTGGCTAAGCCTTGCCTGTGTAATTTTAGCTTTGGAGCAAATTTGAAAGTGAAGTTATCACCATAGTCCTGTTCACTGACAATATCTCCCTGAAGCTCCTTTTGAATGTTCTTCTACAATGACCTTTTAGAATCCCTGTTTTCAGGACAGCCGACAGGCTCTAAGTGTAGCTTAGACATGCTTGCTTACATTTGGCTATATTAAAAACTATGATCTTTGCTTGACTCTTCTTTACCAGGCAAACTAAATGCCTTTCTATCCCTCATCCTTGTTTTCATCATTCCGTAGTCTGTAAATTTGTTCAGTAATCATCTTACTCTCCTTTTTCCCTGATGCACAGACAGAGATGGTCAGGCTCTCAGAGGTGGGATAAAATAACCCATTCTCTTTTGTTTTGATATTTAATTGGTATAAGCTGGAAACATTTACTTAGTGTTTAGCCTCATCTACAAATAAGTTTTGAGGCCTATCTGTCCCTAACCCACTTGATGTGTCATGTTGATTTTGAGTTTCTTAATCAAATGTCATTTTTCATCAAGTCAGCTGCCTTATAAAAATCTACTATATCTGTGCTATTAATTAGCAATAAACTTATGATTAAAAATTAAGCTAATCTAGGAACATATCTCCTGAAAATTTATGTAATTAGCATTACATTACTCTCTTCAGTTTTTTCTTATCTGGAGCCCTGTGTTGGCCGTTCTGTGGCTCTGAGAACATTGTCAGACCGACCAGATTAACTATATAATAACTATAGTTAACGGAGTCACCGTATCTCCTTTAAATAAAAAAAATGTTATTGGTTTATATTTGATTAATATTTTGGTGTAAGTTTTTACAGCTGTGAAATACAGAAATACAAATTTTACCACTAAAACCAACTCTGTAGAAGTTGATCATTCCAGTAAAATGTAATCCAACCCATCTAGCACCGAGGCTAGTTGTTTGATACCGATATCCAGATCACACAGTTCTTAGCCTTCAAATTGATTGAATAGCGTTAGGGAAGTGGTGGGAGTACATTTCTGGGCAGCGCAGGAGGGCAGAGCTCTTCTTTGCAGGACCTTACAAATCTGTGTCAGCACCTGTTTTCGTGTGCTGATAACTGACTTCCTGGTGAGATGCATTAGAAACACACACGATTTTGCTCATTGATCAAAATTTTGCTGAGTTCTTACGCATAAGACAAGCCTGAAGAGAGCAGCAACTGAAGGTGAAGTGTTTCAGTAAGAGGAATACAGAGGACCCTGGTGTAAAATGGTGTCCCTTTGTGAAAAGATTTATGAAAAATAAATGCGGTATCTCAGATGGAAGATCAGATGTGTGATGGATACCTGTTGAGTATCTCCAGGGAATAAGCAGATGAGCAAAATCAGTAACGTGAGACTGGGAAGGGGTCTGCTTTATTACTGGCTGTAGTCTTAGGAAACACCTTTATGCCATAACTTGTGGTAGAGGCATATTCTGAAATCTGGAAGGTTCTTAGTGTAGAGTTTTCCTTACCTGGAACTAATGTTACTGAGAAGGAGTAAATTAAACAGTAGCTCTGAGGTACGTTTGCTTTTAAGTCTAGAACTTTGATTGCAGGTGGGTATATTTTCTTGTTATGGGCCTTTCCTGAGGGTAGGAGCTGCTCTAGTGAACCACATATTGAGAAAGAGACGGTTCATTCTGCTTCCCTTCTATTTTTAGAAATGCAGTTTGAGGGATGTTTTCTTTGTAGCTCTGGTGTTGAGGCTATAGGGATTTCACAGCTTTCAGCAGAAAGAAAAGGTAGCTTTACATTCAGTTCAGAGTCTGATATTTGTTTTATTAGTGGAAATTTTTG